AAAAATCACAAAAAATAATGTACTTTGCATTTTTAGCATTTAAATTGTGTGATTTTATTTTTATTGGTGTTTAATTTCGTGTGATAATTATTATTTAAGAGTTAACTAGTATTCTAAGTCAACCTTAGTTTTATAATTTGAGTTAGGATTTTTGGTTTTAATTTTGAAGACAATTTAGGAAGAAAAAGAATTAATAAAAGAGAAGAAAATTGGAATTGGGGCCAAATTCAATGTAGTTTAAGAAGCCCAAACAATTACCCAGCCAAACCTGCCCGATCCAGCCCAAACCCGTGCCAAACATCCGATCTATCCCAGGCCATCTCAAACGACGCCGTTTCAAATGGCATGTCAATCCAGGCCGTTCATGTCATCTAATCCAATGGCCGCAGATCGCCCCCATGCACCGACCCATTCCCATCCAAAGACCGATCCGGTCTCGAGGTAGACTAAACGACGCCATCTCATTAAGTGAGTGATCCAAGCCATTGATCGTGAATGATCCAATGGCCAAGATCCATTCCCCACCCCACTATATATTCCTAAAAACTCACCCCACGTCTCCCAAGCAATGCCCCCCCTTCGCCTTCATCTCTAACCTAGAGACAGGCCCAACACCCTACGCCTTCAACCACCGTGCTCCGCCCACCGGAAATCGCCTCACGGCTGTTTCGGTGGTCCAAATGACCCCAAAATTACACCACAGCCTCCCCATGACATCCTCTTTCCAAATCCTGAATCAGTTTTCTTCGAATCAGTACCAGACGCTTCGAATCTTCAATCAAATATTCGAGCAAAACCCTAGCTTACCCAATAGCCCCCAAACTCACACCCTGTGATCTCCTGGACCCCCTCACCATGAATCCTTGATCAATTCTTTTCAAATCATCGTGGGGCAGCTCAGATTCCAGATCAAAGTTAGGCAGGCCAGGTTCCAAGAATTTTGAGTCAGAGACTGACTTTAGACATGCTGTTTTCCTTCGAAAACACATGGTTAAAGTCCGTCTCGGCTTGAAAGTGGGAAGATCCTCGCGGTTTTTAATCGAGTTGTGATTCGGGTAAGTCTTTTACGTCCAGTTTTGATTGTTCACTCTTGCAGTTCCGTTTGTTTACTCTGTCCCTTCCTCTTCTATAAATTTGCATGAATTTCCCGTTTGAATTATGGTCAGTAGTCTAAGTTCCAATTTGTGCCAGTTTGCAAGTTGAATTTGTCAAGAACTGGTCTAATTTGTGTCCGGTTAGTTTGGTTTAAGGTCAGGCTACCAATTACTTTGTCATTGTGATTCCTTAATTAGTGATGTTGGCCTGTATAATAGACCTAATGTTTAGGAAATGGTTCATGATTGTTTGAATCTAGACTTGTGCTATTAATCATGTTTCTTTTCATGACACTTGCTTTGCCTCATCTCTAATTGCAGGCTCATGTTGAGAGTAGTTGGGTTTAGTCAAAACTGTTGTGAATTAAAACTTGTTCTATAGTGTGTGATTCCCTTTGTTTGCAATTCATACTGTCGATTACCTGCCTAGTTGGTCATCAGGAGGTCTACTGGTCTTTCAAATCTGAAGTTTTGTAATCTGTCCAGTTGAGTTAGGAGTCAGTTGTTAGGAATTTGATAGTTTGAATTGGTTATAGCTGAAGGGTTTGGTACAGATTGAAAGGGGTTCATGTAGGATAATAGTTTAGGGCATCAGGGGGTAATTTGGACTTTAAATTTAAGTATTTTGTCCAGTAAGTGCTAAGGTAACATTAAATTAATGCATTTGTTTAAGTGCTAATGGGGAACAAAACATAATGGTAGGGGAAAACTTAAAAGAGATTGATTAAAATATGTTGTCCATGGCTGTTTGAACATTAAATAAGGAAAAGACAAGGGATAATGGGGAAAACATACTCTAGTGGGGTACTAAAAGAAGATCATGGGCAGAATTAGTTAAAAAATTCTGCCTAAGTTCTCTTGAGAGCTGGCAAGGTCAGTGTTTGGGTATAAGTGGAGGGACTTAGGACAGAACTTGGGGGACCTGAGAGGACTAGGAATCAGTTTGAGAAAGTTTTTTTTAGAGAGTTTTTCTAAGGTTTCAGTTCTTAGGGAGCATTTTGAAAACTTTGAGGGCATTTAGTTCTAATTTGAAACATACAAAGAATTTGAGATGTCAATTTTAAGAGTTTTTTTTTGAGAACTTTCAAATTGCTAGCCACTGGAGTCAGTAGTGTTTTCTACTTGGTTCCAGTAGACTTTTGGTTTCAGTCGAGACATTCTCGGATCAGTTTGAGCGTTTTGTTGCTGTGGTATGTTTCTAGGGTCAATTTGAAGGTCATTGGGTTTTATTCGAATCGGTTTTGGGTTAATCTATTCATCTTGTTGGTTCAAAACATTTCTGAACTCTTCTTGGATTGATAAATATATTTCTGGGCTGAACTGGTTGTGTTCGTGGCTGTTTGAACTCTAAATCTGCTGTTAGACTTGTTGTTCGCTGCCACTGATTTTCTCCTTCTTCATTGTTATAACTTCCAGGTACATCTTTGGATCACCCTGATGTAATTTTGAGTTGAGTTGAAATAGAAACACTGGCCAGATTCGAGTATATCTGGATGTTGTCAATTGTTTTATCATTTGTTAGTTGCTAGCTAAATGCTTAGTATTTGTTTTTGCATTATTAGAACAACTGTTTGGATTATATGTTGTATGGACTATTCTGGACTGTCTTAGCTTACTAGTTCATTCAGTATTACCAGGGTAGTATGGTATAGCTTAATTCAATTCCATTAATTCATCTCCAGTAGTTATAAAATCGATCCAAATAGCTTTATTTGTTAAAAACAAGTTCGGCGGGTTTTGTTGGGTAGTAGTGGGGTGTGATGCAGCATTTTGCACTAGTTAAATGCAGGATGTGGTTCCATGTTTTTCTTGGTAGTTTATGGTAGGCAACAGTTTGAAGTTCATGTCTATTTGTTCTAGGTCCGTATATATTGACAAAAGAAATGTGAGTTTACTTTTAAGAATTTTTAACTTGAGGTGCTATGATTAGGACATTATGTTAAATAATAGGTTGAATCAAGGTTACTCATTACAGTACTGATAATATTGAAGCATGCCCATTTCAATTTAATGTTCTAATTATTTAGCTAGTTTCCATTTGCTGAGAATATGGTAGTTAATTAATGCTGGGGTGTCTCTTTATAAACGTCATGTTTCCGGTGAATCAAAAGTTTCTTCAGGAATTTGGGCTCACTCTTAGACCCAGTTGAGAGATGACCCAGTCTCATCCCTGCATCCCCATTCATTTCAGTTTTGACTCGCCTTATTTGAGTGCTGCATTGAGCAGTCAATAGGATTCGATCCCTCTCCGCCATTCAGGCCCAAATGCTGGAACCTAATAAAGCTAATTTGTTTTAATTCAAGAATTTTTTGATATCGTAGTAATGATACATGGACTTGTTAAAATAATCAGGACCTTTTTCTTTTACTTTAGAGACAAACAAAATATATAGAAAATCATAGTCGCTTGTAGGTTTGTCCTTGAAAATAATAGATGAGACGAGCCTCGCTACATAAAGCTACAAATTGTGGGGCCCTTAATAAATGGTTAAAAATGAAACATTTTTCGGGATGGGCCGTTTAGTGAATTTCACGGCCCTCCCCAAAGATAATAATGCGCTAGTCATTCTAGACGCGTTTTTGATAATTTACTTTCTTAAACTCGGGTGCACATTTATGTGACCCAAATCCAAATCTCAGCATAGTTGAAATATGTCAATAACCACGGGTGCATTGATGTGACGTGGTTCGAGATGTATTTTCACGACGTTGCAACTCTTGTTAAAANGTTAGTCGCCTGTTTTGAAAAAAAAAACAATGTCCAAATAGTGTCGAAACTCTGCCGAATTTTTGAAAATGAAAAATAAAAGAAAAGAAAAAGAAAAAAAACAAAAATATAGTTTTATTTGCTAATGAAAAGAGTCTGGTTTTCAAAAGAAGTTTGTTTTATCGGTCCGAACTACGCCAGTTTGATTCCAACAGGGTGTGAGATACGTAGGCAACCCCCATCGGGTCCAACTTCACTTTTGTGAAATTAGCCAAGAGAACAAAAATTTTATTTGAAAATAATTAGGGTGATGCCATTCTTGCTAGAAAAACCCGAATGTCCCTAAAAGGGCGCCGGAAGGCTGTTTTTGCAAGAACAGCTGCCTGTGGTCATTTTTTTAGACTTTCACCGGCTAGCCGACACAGCCTTAAAATCTTCGACCCCGAGGTGCTGAAAGACCGTATTGGCAAAACCGGGTTTTATTTTAAATGAAAAAAAAGAAAGAGAAAAGTGTCCATGTTATCTTTAAGTCAATTGAATCATGATTTTTGCTTAACCACCCTGATAAATGTGCAGAATGAGTACAAGTCAGAATTTACACGTAACAATTGTGAACAAGATCCCTTTGGAGTTGCATATGTGGTANGCGGACTGTAATACAGAGTCAATCTTTTCCTTGATTCGGGATTCAACCGGTGACTTGGGACACCATAAATCTCCCAAGTGGCGACTCAGAATCTTTAAATAAAATTCCGTTTCGATTGTCCTTTAATTAGAAAAACTCCATTACGCCCCTGCGGGCACAGGTAAAAAGGAGGTGTGACAGCACTGGCGACTCTGCTGGGGACAACACCCAGAATCTCTGGTTCAGGGTTCAGAATTCGAGCTTTAAATAATTGTTATAATTGGCTTGTTTTATCTGCATTTTTACATGTTTGGGCCTAATGTGCTAAATGCTGCTTTTACCGCTTTGATATTATCTAAACTGTATATATACTGCTAAGAAACCCTTCTCTTCTCACCTTTGGGGATGTGCTCGCTGGTCGAGACTCCCTATTCTGTTAGT